GTGCACCAGGAACTATCGCCTACTTCTAAATTGTCCAGATGTGGGTTTTTAATAAATGCGATTGGAAGGCATAGACTTATGAGGAAGTTTAACGTTGAAAACACTTCAATGAGCAAGCAGAAATGGCCTCGATTATTGCGGAAGCCTCAAGTCGATGCAATGGTGGCAGTTAAAAGTGAACTCGATCCGAGAAGACAGCTACTCCGTTTTCCATTTCTGAATTTTAAACCGTAGCATGACGAGAGGAAGTACATGGACTGCGGATGGGAGAATCCGTGACGACTCCTAACAAAAAATTACGTCTACCTTCGGCGACTACCCCAGTTTCGTGGTGTGCAGGAAAGCTATTAACAACGGAGGTGACACTAACCGCCGTAAATCATCTGGACAAGTCCGCTGCGGAGCTGTCTGCGTTACCTGTATGAAAATGTTGATTTCGCGGACACGCGATACCTCCTCCACCTCTCGACTAGCTGGATTGAGCCTAGACAGATGTATGGCTGAACAGGAATGGATAAGGAAAAGTGATAAGGAGGAACCGACACGAAACATTATCTCCACAAAACTACTTTAAACCCTGTCCCTTATTAAATGACTGCTGTTAGGACTGTGTTCTTACGATTAGCGATGGGTAGGCGTCACGACTAGCTCATTACTTTTTTCCTTAATGCACTTGGCAAACAGGACAGAATCCTAGATCCAATTGAAGAGCCATGACATCGTCTTCGTTGCATGCGAATTCGATGACTGGGGCGATCGTGTCTGCGTTGTGTATTTTTTTTCAATACCGACTACGTGGACGTAAACGACGCTTAAATGGAGGGATGAGCTATGTAATACTATGGTTATTTAACTCTCCGTTTTGAATGCGCGGGCACTGGAGGCTCCACCATTGCATCTCTATCCAGTGACATTTCCTCTGGGCCATGCAAGTGGACTTTCAGTCCCTTCTCTCGTCTTCTGGGTAGTTTTAGGGCGCTACAATACAATAGGACCTAATTCCATAGTTAATGGAGTGACGAACGAAGGGCAATGCTTTCGGTTTTTTGATTAAAAAAATAGGACAGAAATGCAAAAACCTGTTCGTCTTTTAAACTTCCTCACGTCATGCAAAAAACCAGAGGTGTGAAGACAGCTGATGCACCTATTGGCAGCTGAAACAACAATCTGAAGTGTCATTATTAATTGTCAAACACAGCAGAAGAGATAGGCTGATGTTTTTCCTCTGGTTTGAATGCTGACAGGAAGGAGACAGTTCAAAATGGAGAATAGATAAACGCTCAGACGAGTAATGACTAGATCATGAGGCTACCACTGTAGTGCCTAATTTATTTTCAAAAAAAAATACTACAAAAAGGACTGGCGTAAGATGCAGCATGCGAAGCACACTTATGCAAGGTTTATAGCCTAATATGGTCAAAAACTGGGCGGAATTTGACCAGTAAGACAGGGGCGCCCACAATGCATGACCCCAGAAGTAAAAGTTTCCACCGAGACTGCTTAATAGATCAAAACATAATTTCCAGTAGATGGAAATAAGACCACTATCATTTTTCAAGAAAGAGGAAAAAAGGGATGAAAAAAAGGAAAAGGGATAAAGAGCCTCCAGTGGTCAGACCACCTGAGTAACTCAAGACTTGTCAGAAAGCATCTTTATACCTTGAAGGCGATTGAAACTGCTAAAATATGCCTCCTTCATGGCACTATTGAAGACAACATATGAGGTATTTAAAACTACTTACAGTGGGTAAAATGATAAGCATTAGAAGCAGTCTGCGTTCAGCAATATGCGACCTCAACTCTGTACCACAAATGCATGCTGATCTCAATGCAGGTGGTGCATCAACTCTAGTTGAATGCAACCGCCAACCCCACAGCCCCATTACATGGCTCTTTTGGAGACAAGTCTGTGCCAGGTTGGCAAAAGAAAGCAGTCATCGCTGACTCGATTGCTCAGACTAGACTACCTTAAACTACAATGTTGTTGGCGGATGCTGAATCAGGTGCCATTCACTATGGCCCACACCAAACAACGACCTCATCACACACTATAGTATCGACACATCCAGACCTCTTACATTTGCAACAATGCTGGAATAACTTACAAGTTGCCAGGACCTACTTCCACACCGTTGAAGGGAACAATCTATTCGTTGGAAAAGCTGACAGCGTAGGTAAAGGGACAGCTCAGGTGCGAATTAATTAAAGAGTTGGAACAGGGATGTGCATAATGTAAAGGAGGGAACAAAGGTGGGAAGTGTGGAGATTTATTGAGTCACCTACATGAAGCCGTTGTTTCCCTGCTCACTTTGGTTACGAGTCCATGAAAAACTGCAACGAAAGTGACTCCTGTGGCTTGATTATTATGACAGCACATGGCTAATCAAACAAAGGTCTGGTCATTACCTCGCCAAATGGCAAAACCACTCAGTGAAGCCTTTCACTTAACCAACCTGGTACGGGTAACTGGAATGGAATGCTTACAGCTGTCATGCTATTTGGAAACATGTTTCCAGTGTCAGAAAAAAATTTAAGACTCGCACCAAAGGTTCGAGATAAAATTCTACCTAAGGAAAGGTACTGATAGTAAACATCAGGTGTTGTAACTGTGTAATCTTACCGTCATTAAAACAGTAGACGTAACACTCGCTGATTTTTTAACACCAGGCAAGGGGGAAGGCCATCGAATTCGTAACAGTGAATTAACGTCAAGGGAATCATTGGGCAAGTTACTATTTTACCTTAAAGTACCCTCTGTTAACCTCCTCCATTCGGCCTGAAATGGACAACGACGGTGACAGATAATTAGTTATTTATTTAGTTACCTGCCCGCTTGCTTCTTATCACCATCACCGAGATGGTGTGGACGTCGACTCGTGGAGGTGCCACAAAAATAAGTTATGGGCTGCTTTGGTTAGGTAAGATTACTGCACAACACTGCCTAATCAAAAAATCAAGAGTCCAGTGCTGAACTGCTCAGGTGTTGTTCGTACCCACTTGCACAATTTGCACGAGTGCCATTCCGTTGGAGGAACAACTTAAGGCCAGGCATGGGAATACGAAGCTGGCCTGTGGACGATGAACATAAACAAAAGCAAAAAGTAAAAGACGCTCCCCGGATAGACAAATATTGAATCAGTTATCCTTCCGTTTGACTTCAAATTTCCCCCGCCCATAGGTTCACCATAAATACTACGCGAATGTTCCTATTACATTTCTCTACAACCCCCCATGGTTATCACTGGGGCCATCTCGATTCTCTTGTGAACCGAGCCTTGTGGCAATATTCCGCCAAATGGGCGGTCTAGCTCCGTCAAGTGGCGGGCAGCTGATGCACCTCTAATCGAAGCAAGAACCCAAGGTACTGAAGCTTCCCAGACAAAAGGTAAGCCCTTTGAAACAAGAAAAGCGAAGCCAAACAGAGAGTCGTGATGTGCATACGGTAGGCTAGTTCAGGCGCACAAAGTCCCTTCGAGTGAAGCAGAAAGCAAATTCAAGTTGGCAGAGTTCTTGCATCACTTATGCTGCATAGACAGCCTTGACAATTAATCCACCATCGATAAAAACGCTAAACATCCAGAGTCAAAAAAGTTGACAGAAGAAATCACTTACTCACGTCTAGCAAAATACCACCTGTCGGACCACAACCGCCTATCTAATAAACTCAACTTCTAAACCCAACAACTCAAGGATTGTCATCTTCTCGTCCCACATAGTCGATGGGTCTATCTGAAATAATCAAGCAACTGATGACCAGACATTGAAGAAGAGACTTGAAATATTTAGCTTCCAGTGAAAACGAGTGCCCGTGCAATTTACAGTGACCATGGAAGGTGAGCATACGACAAAGTACGGCGAAATTGGAAGAAAGTGAAGTGAAGATCAGGGAAGTGTGTTGAAGCACTTATGCCCGGGTTTGCTTCCTGTTTACTATGCACCAGAGACCCAGAAACACCAGGCATTTGGAAAGCCTCATAATATAAACTGTCTATAAATATTCCGAAAACCATTTGCCAGCAGTCAGACCAAACAATATTAATATAAACCAATCAAAATCCTTAAATGCTTTCCACTAAAAAATTAAATAGCTGCGTCAAACTTCTCACAATATTTTCTTTATTTATTCATCCAAGCAATCCGCATTACA